CCACAGGGGTGCCCTGCCGCAGGGGTGCAGGGGTGCCCTGCCGCAGGGGTGCAGGGGTGCTCTGCCGCAGGGGTGCAGGAGTGCTCTGCCGCAGGGGTGCCGTCACAGGCGAGCAGGGAGAGCTGCCCAGCGCTGGGCACCCACGCGGGCTACGGTGCCACCTGAGCTTTAAAGAAAAAATTCTGTTTTCCAACATTAAACAGCCTCACCCAACCCTTTGTTAACAGACGGGTAACGTAAGAAACCTTTCCCCGTCGTGAAACCAAGCGTTAAGTTTGTGGCAGCACGGCCAGGTCAGCAGTTCAAAAACTCAGATCCTTCACATAAAAAACTGCGAGAATTTTTTAAAACCTTAAAATGCAGCACAGAGCTCATCAACACAAACTGCCAAGACTTTCTTTGTTAATAACAAGCAGTTGATTTTTAAATGCAAATCATTTTGATGAACGCTTTCTCTTCCCAGCTATCCAATACTTTAAGTATTATAAGCATTAGAAAGCATTTTAGTTGGTTTCCAGTTCTCACTCTAATACAGGCTGACACTATGCACGCTGAAGGGAAAAAAACCCAACAAAACAAACTGGTAGAGAGTTGTACTGGTTATCAATTTTAAAAATGAAACATTAACATTTTGAATCACGTACATTAAGCTATGTAAGTAACTTATGTAAACAGACATTGAGGTGTGAAAAAAGCATGCTTCTGAGTCAGCCCAAAAGCTGTATTTGGTAATATCAGCACCTTGTAATGAGAATCAGTTATAGTTAAAGGAAAAATCTGGATAATATAAATACTTAGCAAAGAAAAGATCATGCTTGAACTAAAGGTTTCTTGCTTTCTGATTTAATTAGTAAAATCAGTAATTTAAATTCTTTCCAGGCTACACTAACTCCGCTGCCCCCTTTCATAGACAAGGCTCCACACAGAGGTCAGAAGGGAAGCCTGAACAGAAATGGAAATATTTATTCAGTATTGGAAAGAACAGCATCACGTTAAGCCTAAAAACCTCCTTTACTCAATATACTGGTTGCGTGAATGAAGAATATGTAGTCTAACACGTACATAGTATATTCATTTATAAAAATAGATATTTTTTAATTGGACTGAAGATCTCAGTTCACTGTAAAGACAGACTCTGACACTGGGAATGCCACAAACACTCTTGCGCTATGGAAGGGCAGCTCTCCGTTGGTCGGTAACTCGATTTCTGCTCCGGCCAGACCCCGGCCTGCACCGCGCAGGCCGTGTCTGAGCGAGGAGCGGCGAGCGGCGAGCTGCGCACGCCGGCGGCACGGCCGCGAAGCCCGGAGGCGACGGCCAGCTCCGAGGTCTGCTCCGTGTTCCACGCACCACGGTAGGTCTCACGGTAACTGAACGGATTACAATGTCTTCGTAGTTAAATGACTGGGTCAAATAAACAGCAGCTAAATGCTCTGATTTAATATCTTGACAGGGTTCAATTTAATATTTAATTTAACATTGTAATGGGGTTTCACAAAAGCATCAGAAAATAAAGCACGGCCGGAACTTAAAACTTGAAGCGGCACAGTCATGAGATGAGTAGCATGGCTATAAGCATACTCTAATTGTTTTTAAATCATTATAATATTTACTTTGTCACATAATATCTTAAAAATATAATTTTTTATGGTTATGGAATATGGACAAAAAACTTTAAGAGTTTCAACAAAACCTTCAGGTCCCTTCCAAGTAAAGAGGATTCACAACACGTGTTAGCAAGATATACATACCAGCCAAGAGAAATTAGATCTCCATACCCTACCCATGAGAATCCTCTTGATAAAATAAACTTCACAATTCAAACTTTTAAATTACATATTTCTAATTCTGCTCCCTCTAAGACTGCCCCCCCCCTTAAAATCGAAAAAAATAACTCATACATGGTACCTGTTAGCAGTAAATAATTAAGTGAAGTGGCAATTTGCCTGTATTTCCATTCAGTGCCTCAGAAAACCAACGAGTTCCCAAGGTACACAGCTACGTGGACACAGGCTCTTGAAGGAAACAGCTTCACCGTTCCTGGGAAGGTTTTCGTGGTTAACAAAAATGGCAAAAATTTCGTTTTTACTTACAAAAATGCGCATTCCAATTTACTGTTCTGCACTGCATTGCATGTGCTCCAAGTTCAGCAGACATGGTTAAAGCCATCCACATAACAAGTCAAAGTCTCGAGGCTGCAGCATTTTAAGCAAATCCACTGAAATGCTCAAAAGCTTAAAACTTTACGTAAAATCTTCCTCCCTGAAAGCCAGTGCTAATGCAGGATCGTACTTCTTAATCGGCCTCCAGGGATTAGACTCACTTAAAATATTTGTGGGCAACTGCTTAGTTCAACGCGTACGACAGCGAGAGAAAACTTAAGGAGCCTCGATACAAAATGGGTCGCCTGAATCCCACTTTTAATGGAAGCCAGCAGCAGCCCCGGTAACACGCAGTGCCACGCTGGCTTTTTACAGCCGGGTACCCTGAGCGACACTAGTTTTCCTTTACAAACGAGGAGAAGAACAGCAGCCAAACGGGTGCAGAGGTTTGTTCCAGGTTATTACATGTCGGGGTAAGAGCGGGGATGAGACCGCGGCACTCCTGCTTCTGCGATCCGCCTGCTAGAAAACGTCATTTTCAAACTACTTATCTTTCAGTCCATAAACAAATGTACTACTTGTACAAAGTACTTACACCCTACTTTTCCATACAGACAAAACAATATATGCAGAAGGAGCAAATTACACAACGCTGACGTGATTGTACAACTTTCCTCAGTTGTTCCAATCCCAGCTACCGGCATCAAATCTGTCTGCTTTCTTGTATGCAAATTATAATTACAGCAATTATAAATTTGCTAAACACAGGCACGCAGGGTGGTGGCAAATAAATGCAAATCTAAAGCTGCCAGATTTTTCACTGAAGTAGATGACAGGTCTCGGCAAAGGGATTTCTCAAAAGGTTTCAGCTTCATTTAAATTCCACTCGTACCACCAATGTCAGAAAATACTTGAATCCACCCACCAAAAGAAATACTAACTGATTAGCAAAGCACAGCCCTTGTGCTCTGCACAACCCATCACGGACAGATGCTCCGTTCTCACACTGCCTTCCCAGCGGAGCAGCCGCACCGGGAGAGGCGAAAGCTCCTCCGCATCAAACACCCAGCAGCCATCGACAACACGCTCCCAGGGAAGAGATCCACGACAGCACAAATGTGTAACGGTATCTCCCCAAAACACTCTCCCAGCCTCCAGAAAAACCACGGCTCCCGTCCCAGAGACTGACACCTCACCTCACAATGAAAGGATAGCTTTGATTACACAAACAGGTCAACCTCCGTGTCCCTTTTATCCTCATTATCGCATGTGGAAAACAAAGAGCACTTGTTCATAAAACTAATTTCACAGATCATTTGAACATTCACTAAGGTCTTCATGAAGTCCAACTATTAACTTCTCTGGTTATCAGATCAGAATTCCCCACGTATTGCCAAGCAGTGAAGTTACGTGAAATTGTGTGTAGGTCATGTATACTTTATAACGTGGCTTAAAATCATAGAATCATTTAGGTTGGAAAAGGCCTTTAAGATCATTGAGTCCAACCGTAAGAAAAAACTTCAGTAAAATGTTCAGATGCTCTTGCTTCCCTCCCAAAGAGCGCTGCTTTCAACAGCGGGTACAGGGACCCACAACGTCTATGTTTCACAGGGGAAAACCAGAGGTAACTCTTACCCTGCAATAACTACCAAGCATGTTATGTTTTACATACAGCACACTAAATTTCAAGGTACACACAGGAAGGCTTAGCTACGAAAACATCAGTGAGGAACTGATCCCTGAGCACTGTTAGCTGATTTTGTGGCAACCAGTTTGTTCTTTGCGTTTTCAGCAGGGCAGTGGAGCTAGTAAGGTCTACAGAAGACGTAGCATTTAGTTTTTTAAAAAGCGCTTTTATATCCCAGACTGCAGATAGTGTTTTTGTTCCGACACCTTGCTTAAATTGGAATTACAGAAGATGAGAGTTAAAAAGGGAAGGGGGCATTGCTAGAGCAGTGTTCTCGAACTCCTTTGTGCGACCTCTCAAGAATGGCACAAGCTGGGAAACCACGGGAGAATGCAACGCGTTTGGTCACAGCAGGCTAACTTCAATTACTTAATGTCAGCACCCACAAGATCAGGAGATCATGTCAAGTCCTAAAGAAAACAACATAAACGTTTATTTCAGAACAGGATCTGGTCTGGTTCAGGTTGGAACCGTTGACA